TTTTTGATGCACATTTTCTTTTCAAACGCCGAATCTGTCCGGAATTCTAGTTGGAATGTGCTCTAGGGTCGCTCAGGCACCTTCCCTGCAAGTTTCAAGCAAATTCATTTTTCAGCAAAAATTGAAAAAAATTGCAAGGGGTTAGCTTTACATTTTGATTTGAATTTGACCAAAAATTGACTTTTCTCCAAATGTGCTCTAACGTTGTTCAGGCATCTTCCCTACAAGTTTCAAGCAATTTCATTTTTCAGCAAAAATTGAAAAAATCGCAAGGGTTTTAGCCTTACATTTTGATTCAAATTTGGCCAAAAATTGACTTTTCTCCAAACCACCTAGAACTGTTTTTGGATGCAAGAGGAACATCAATCGACCTTCAAACACCAAAATATCAAAAGGTTTGGGTAAAATCACCGCTTTATTTGTAAAAAAAGAAAGAAAAAAGAATCGCTAATTCTGCGACAAAATTTAATTTTAACTGCCGAATCTGTCCGGAATTCCAGTTGGAATGTGCTCTTACGGCCAAAAATTGACTTTGACCAAAAATTCTCCAAACAACCCAGAACTGTTTTTGGATGCAAGAGGAGCATCAATCGACCTTCAAACACCAACATTTTGAAATATTTTATAAAAAAATAAAATAAAAACAAATTTCAGTAAATTTGCAACAAATTTTTGACGCACTTTTCTTTTAACTGCCGGATCTGTCCGGAATTCCTGTTGGAATGTGCTCAGGGGTCATTTAGGCATCTCCCCTGCAAGTTTCAAGCAAATTCATTTTTCAGGAAAAATTGAAAAAAATAGCAAGGGGTTAGCCTTACTTTTTTATTCAAATTTGGCCAAAAATGTCCTTTTCTCCAAACAGCCCACAAATGCATTTGCATGCAAGAGGAGCATCAATTGACAAATAAAAATTAGACAAAATCTGACACATATTTTCATGTTTTTACTTTTCAGTTTTTATTCCATATTAACAACTGCTGGCATGTTTTACAGCAAAGTTTATTTTTAAGTTTAATTCCGAACATGATATTTAAAAAAAAAAAATTACAAAGATGCGTACACGTTAACAAAAACGGGGCAACACTATATCATCAAATTACATAAGAAATTATGTGATGTTAAAAAAAATCACACCGCACATGGATGGCCAAGATTATCACTACCCATGTAGCAACAATAACACACACAAAAAACTCAAGTTTGTTTAAAAACAATATCTGGAAGGAACTGTACATGATTACGATGCTGTTTTGCCAACTCACAAGTGCTAGTGAAGAGACGCACCTTGTGTGCACAAATTCGACACACGGCTAGTAAGGTCATTACTGGCTGTAACGCATGTCTATGGGAGGCGACTTTAGCTGCTTCCAAAAGCACATGTGTAATTACCAGCCATATAGTCAAGTAAATGGACTTTTTGTGTTTCAGGTTTCTTAACGTTTTCTTTGTTATTTTAATTTTGTTACAAATGAACGCATGTTTACTCGTGTCTTACCGGGCAATCTAAAACCACTACAGGGACAAAGGGAAAGACAATGCCATGTCCTCGAGAGTTATGTAAAACACGAATGTGTGCACCATCCTGTGTTGTGTCTGGTTATTTAACTTTTGTTACAATGAACGCTCAAAACGTTTACTCATGTCTTACCAGGCAATCTAAAACCACTACCAGGACAAAGGGAAAGACAATGCCTTGTCCTCGAGAGTTATGTAAAACACAAATGTGTTCGCCATCCTGTGTTGTGTCTGGTTTGAACCTCTTTCCCCAATACGGACACAAGAACTACGGTTGCTATTGAGACTGGTTACTGAACTAGTTTCCAGGCAGACGCAACAAAGATATCTCTCTTTAACTATCTGACTCGGCTACTTGTAACTCCCTACTTCCTAAAACATTGAATAGTGGTGTGCATTTGTGGCTAGTACAGAAACTGGGTACCTGCAAAAGTAACCAAACCCCAAAATTCAAATCCAGGAAGTTGTCTGAAGGGCTTTATAGCTTTGTGGTTTCTGCAACTTTCCCGAGCGTTATCTGTCGCGCATTAAAATGCACATAAATGTGAAATCTACTTTGGCTTTCCATGCAGTCTGGTTTTCATTTTGAAAATTCCCAACAAATGGCGTTCAAAACCTTTCTTTTTCACTGTCTGAGAAGTTACTGAGCAATTTGTAAAGTTGGTTACGGGTACCCGATCCCATAATCTGGAACCGGTTCCTGACATCAATGGTCGGGTACTCGGTTCCGATGCACAGCCCTATATAACTAAATCAAAGCAAGTAAGGTTTATACTACTAATTAAGTGTCAAGTTTTCCAGATAGCCAAATACATGTACTACAGTGAGGAGAAAGGGCTACATTATTAACGTTAGTCATACTTTTGATATTTCATTGATTCACAGCAAAAAAATGCACTATGATAAAGAACGGTTGACAACTGACATGAATGCAGAGTCATTATTAGGGGTCTGGAGGCCAAAATTGTACCAAAATTGCATTGAATTGCAAAATCAAACACCATAACGGTAAACTGTGCACCCAAACTGTTCGACTCTGATTATGGTGGTACGCCTGACCCCATGTAAAGCATAATCAGTTTACTAGTTCAGTACTCACTCCAACAAATTCCAACAAAACATGCAGTTGGATTTTGATGGGTTGGGGATAGTTTGGGTTAATCAATCCAGTTGAGAATGACCTCTCAAATGACGGCATCAAAGGACTAAAAATGAGACGCCGAAAATGTTGGCGTATTGTCAAAAACTGACTGCGGACGGAGCAATAATTCAGAAACTTCAACTTTATCAAAGGAATCGCAGTTATGTTAAAACCCAGCTAGGCAAATTTGGAAAACGCTTTGAATATGAATTTTAGGTTGGGTTTTAACTTGTTTTGAGTACAGCACTACAGACACTGAAGCCTTGTGGCTAATTGTATACAAGTGGCAATTGGCAAGGAGCTATAAGGTAGGCTGGGTGTTTTGTTTTTAAATTTCCTACAAGAAAATAATGTTCTTTTACAAAGAGCTAAAGGGCTTTTCATAGCCATTCATTATTATTAAAGGCATAAAGGTTTCATGTATTTTGTTCATTTCCAATGATAACACCACTCAAAACCCAAAAAAGAATATTCAAAACCTAAGCTGTTTAACTTTCTGCTCAGTGGATATTACACTTTTTGAGAAAACAGTGACAAATCATGCACGATTCCGTCTAAAGCACCCTTTATTTCCAAAAATCAGTCAATAGACTGATCATTGGACATGTTGGAAATCACCTACATTTCTTGATTTCTTCTAAATGACAGCAAGCCAGACGTAATAATTTCACAGGGTGTTTAGCACCAGTACGATCTCTAATCCAAGTAAGCTTTTTGATAATAATTTGGTACGTTACTTTTGGGAAATATGATCCTATGCCTTTAAGTCTCCTAAAATGCTTCACAAAGGTTCCAATTTCCAGTGTACGATTACTTTTTTACTGAACAAGATTTGTTTTTGTTCAGAACATGTTTTCCTTTAGATGACACCTGCCAAAAGTTCCAAATAACTTCAAACCCAAGTGAGTACAGTCATTACCAAATGTACTTGTACAAACTATTTTGGTCATCAACTGCACTTTACGTTCCAATATGCAAATCACAACAGGTATTTCATGTTTAAACTATCAAAGTAATTAATATTCCAAATAACAAAACAAAAGCACCTGAAACATCAAAGGCTGCCATTCATTAACCCTCCTACTGTTTAAGAGGTCACCAATGGTCAAAATGTTTGTATCTCACCTCCTGGCATACTGTGTACAAACCAATGGGGGTCTTGACCAATATTGACCCAAGTAATAACCAGGCTGACAATGCATGTTTCCATAGGAGGGTTAATTAATGAAATTTTAAAATATCGATAATTTGCTGCATCACTACAAACAGAGCAGGTTACTCTCAAGTCATTTTAGAAGAATGTTTTACTTACCCAACGGTAAAACTAGGACATTAGTTTGGCACAACTTTAATTTGAAAATTGAAAGTCACTCAATAGTATTTTCAGACGTTCTAAAGTTTCCCGTCCGAGGGGGGGGGGGGCCTGGCAATAACACGTGCTCACTGTTGGTCGTAGCCAAATAATTGACCTTATGCGCTGCAGGTGTCTCAGAGTCTGGTTCCTTGTTATTATAATTTAGTAACAGTTTAGTGACAAAAATTCCACTTTTCTTGAAAATGCCAGCACACCCGGTGCCATGATTTCACAGGATGCTTGCGACTATTATTCACTTGCAGTCCAGTAAGGTAATTCATAATAACTAGGTAGTTTTGTTTTTTTGATGTTTGCAAATGTTGTATATTCCCTTAAAGTGTCAGTGATGTACGTTGTACACACTGCACTTAACTGGTTCTCCGCTAAGTCTTTCTACAGAACATGCAATTTTTCTTACCCCCAAGAAAGTTATGGCTTAGCAGTCAGCCAAAGTTGGCCCGGTACCCAACAATTGATCATTCGGTCATCTAGCATGTTCCATCAACGTTGCTGTTAGAATCATAGCGATCAGAGCATTATCTGCCGAGAGCACTGGGCAGCTTTACTCACGAGTGACAAGTGCCAGAGAAATGATCATCTCACTAATGTCTTAGTGCATGCAAACTGGTCATCATGAAGCAACGCCAGGCGGGACTGGGAAAATAATCGACTCAATCAGGATTTGAGCCTGCCTTACAATGCAGAACCCCAACTCTACCCTTATCAATATATTTAGAACCAATATCTGCACTTGCCATATCACCCCCACTTGCCTCTCTCCACCCAGGAGTATAAATGGGTACCGGCATTAGCTGGGGAGTAACCTGCGATGGACTAGCATCCCATCCAGGGGGAGTAGAAATATTCTCAGTCGTTTCATGCTACCGGTACTGAAAGCAGAGATAAACGCCGGCCTGATGGGCCTCATTGGCTCGTGACAGACATTTTTTGCAGCCTCAATTTGAATGTTTCAAAACCTTGGCTTTAATCCAGCTTCGGCTGTCCACACCACATGGAAACACTATACACTCTGGCATCATACATTTATTATGTTATGTAGGTTCTGATTGCAGAACATGCACCCACACTGAGCCACAGTCCAGTAAAGTAAGGCCTCTAAAATCAGCCTGTGCCACAGCTGGGAAACAAAGCCAAGGTTTCGTAAACCTCCCAAGTGCTCTGTTCGAAACTTGTCTGTTGTCTAGTGATGTACTCAACAATTTTTGTTTTAAAACCATTTAATAGCCTTCCAATTAGAACCAGCAGAAATGCTTCCACAGACAGGCCTCGAAACCAACCCCTTAATACTTCACATCATTCTCAATCAAGGCTTCATTGTCATCGTAAAACTTTGCTAGAAAACATGTAAACCACCTGATTTCAAGTATTTTCCTACGTATATATACACATAAACAGTAAGAGAATCTACACAGAATAACTATAAATTATCAGAATATATATATAAATATACCGATTGGATGCGACGCCTGGGTTGTGAAGCCACAGGAGAGAACACAAAAGACAAGACATGTAACTTTCTTCCCCCATCTGCAGCGGAATCGAAGCACTCCGTTTAGGTAATTTATCAGAACCGTGTCGGTTTGAAATTCACATTGGCCCGAGAACACCAATCACCATGACAACAATGGCATTAGCGTGAACATATTACAGCAAATCAAATAGACGCACGTTTATGGATTTCTTGGCCAATCTCTTACATGTACGTCATGCTGGTATCATATGAAAATCGGACTCGTATGAAAATCGGACTCTTTTCCCCTTTTATTGGTTAAACCCTCTCACGTGCCCGATCCCTCTCCTAATTATCGATGCATGAGCATGCACAATACCACCAAAGAGTCTGTATTTCATAAAACCTAAATTCATGCTACACCGGATTTGACTATAGATTTAATAAAACACCTTGTAAAATCATTATTTTTTTTCCCCAGAGTTCTACTGTGCAGCTTCTTCCGTTCCCATCGCGAAGCCCTGAAGATAAGCTTCCATGCCAACGATTCATTCTGTTTACAGTGCACTCTCCAAGCTTTTGATTTTCAGGGTCAATTTTGAAACCCCAGATAACAATACATGTATTTTTCCATACTGCTGGCTTCACAAATTACCTCCAGACTATGCGAGTCAACACATTCCAAATTTACACAAAAAACAAAAAAAAAAACACGAAAACTGAAATAGTTTCAGTCCCTGACTTGCCGCTTGTTCTTTACACGTCATTCCCGACGGTCCAAACACACATTTCAGTAGTCCCTGCTCGTCGCAACACGCAGCCTCTGTGGCGTCCCCCTCGATTCCAGAGACGCTATCCCATAATTCCATGGCTTCCCATGATGCTTTGCAGGAAAAAAAATGTCCTCAACACTTCCTCGGCAAAAGTAATAATTACACTAGTTTTAAAGCAACACATTGTGAAGTGGTGTGTCTCTTCGCTGTTTGCAATCCATTACACACACCCGGCTGAAAAAACTTTTGAAGATGGTGGTTTTTGTTAACATATCCAACCAAGACCCTCTGAAGAAATGGCGGCCTCCTTATCCACGACAACCATCTGTGTATCCACGGCAATAGGCATGCTCCAAACGTCACCTTTAAGGAGGCGAGCGCATGCCAGCTTTTTTTGAGATACATCCAAGCACTGTTCTTCAAACCGTTGAACTCTCAACGTTCACATGCTGTCGGGCTAACAAACACCGGCAGTCCAAATTCCTGGCGAAAAAGGGTCCACATTTTTTGTCCGGTTAAGCAGGAGGACATGTCTTCGGGTTTGAAGCTGGAGACGGCTCAAGGGATGATGGGTCCATGGAGGCCTGTGATTGCCTTTATATGCAGGACAAGGGAGCAAGATGTTTTTTGTTTGTTTTCTTTTTTCTTTTTACACGGGATGCAGTTTGACCTTCTGTCATACCTCGGTGTACTTGTTGGTCGGGCCTTTGATGAACGGCTCGTGCCACATCCGCTTCAGGTCACCCTGTGAAAAGGGGAGGGAACATGTATCAGTCAAATGAAAACGAAGAGTTTGGAGGCTGTGCAACCAACCAGCACCTGGTAGTACATGTAGGTGTGGGACAGTTGTAGGCTAGGGGTGTGCATTCAGGGATAGTACTAGAACCGGGTACCCGACTGAAAAACAAACACGGGTACCCGGGTACCCGTTAAAGAAACCCAACCCCAAAATCCAAATCTCGGAAGAAGTTGTTGATGAGATTGTTCATAAAGGACTGCAAGATCATTATTTTTTTTCCAGAGTTCTATTGTGCAACTTCCCCCATCGCGAAGCCCTGAAGATAAGCTTCCATGCCCATTAAAGAAACCCAACCCCAAAATCCAAATCTCGGAAGTAGTTGTTGTTGAGATTGTTCATAAAGGTCCGCATGATAATACTACTTCTGTACATCGGTGCGTCAATACAGCAAGATACAAGTGTGTGCAGTGAGCTTATAGCTTTATGGTATAAACTGCAACTTTTGCGAGTGTCATGAACGTGAAATGTTTTGTTTTTCCAGGTAGCCTGGTTTTCATTGTGAAAATGTCCCCCAAAAATAACATTCAAAACCTTTCTTTTTCATTGTCTGAGAAGTTACTAAGTGATTTGCTAAGTTGGTTACGGGTACCCGATCCAATAATCTGGAACCGGTTCCTGACATCAGCGGTCGGGTACTCGGGGACCCGGTTCCGATGCAAAGCCCTAGAGAGTTGGTTTTCCAGCTTGTCTACTAATGAAGCAACTGATGTTTCATTACACTTTGGGAATCGCTACTAGCTACCTAAGACTTGAAGGTCTGCATGGTGGAAAGCCAAAAGATGTAAGGTTTGCAGTAGCACCATGCACTCAAATCTCTTTTGTGACTGTGTGGTTCTAAAAAAGAACCGGTTTGGTCACACGATGTATCAGACAGTATGCTCCGTCTGTCTTCAGCCAAAAGATGTAAGGTTTGCAGTAGCACCATGCACTCAAATCTCTTTTGTGACTGTGTGGTTCTAAAAAAGAACCGGTTTGGTCACACGATGTATCAGACAGTATGCTCTGTCTGTCTTCAGGAGACTGGTGATGGGCTCAAGCCAATAGCTAGATAATTTAGCAGATTCATGTCTTGATGGAGAGCCGAAGTTGATGCGATTCTTTAGAAACCTGTGAAATACGGTAACTGTTAGCAAGTTTTTTTCCGCTATAGTTAGCCAAGATTCTCTGCCTGTGAGAATAGGGCTGTCGATTTTCAAATAATTTAGTGTTCGATTATTTCAAACTGTGATTGACCGAATATGGCATCCGACAATAATGCGCCCAACATTACGATTAAAATAACGTAACAGTCATGTGTGGGTGCATAATTTATTTTCTTTGTTTTTTCTTTGAATATTCAAACCGTCCAGAAAGTATTCAAATATTCGGTCGGTGAACGACTACTTGGGACAGCTCTACTGTGAGAAGAAGAGCCAAGTAATTGGGCCATTTGAAATTCAGCCCAAATGCTGTTGAAAGACACATCAATGCCTGCGTCTCCTCTCAGACCGATACAGTACACGATGCAACTTTCAATTCACCTTTTCATTCTGTCCGCTGTACAACAAAGTGGCATATTGTGTATACTGCAACGCCACAAATGCAAGGGCCAATTTCACGTGTACGCACGGCCCCTTGTACGATAACCCCTCGACTGCTTTGTAAAGCACTTGCCTAGTAGACTATCGCACAGGTAACCCATGTTAGTCGACTGGCATGTGCATTTACCCTGTGTGTGAATCCTCAAGTGTGCGCTTAGTTAATAGCAAAACTACGGCACTTGATGAAGAATGGACCAGTAAGCATTCGGCTCTTGTTCATGAATATGTATGAGGTGTAGTAAATACATATATATTTGTTATATCTCTGTCTTGAATACTGTATTTTCATTGGCATAGAATGATCACATGTTAAGTTTATAAAAAAGTCATGGCACACTCCCTGTGGGACATCACGTACGTGATGTCCCACAGGGGTGTGCTATGATTTTGTACGTACCGTACGTACGGTGTGAAATGCTTGTATTGTTGGTACCCACGCTATTTTCACCATGTTTTCACACATGAGTCGGAGCAGCGAACTAGAAGACCATCAGCTGTTTCGAGCACGGTACGCGACATGCATGTGAGTTGACGTTCGATTGTCATGATTGTTGTGTTTACTGCTGTTTGTTTTCGTGTTTTCAAAGTCCAAAGAATCCAAGACAGAGGTATAACAAAACAACAATTGTTGACTGCTGTGATGTGGGATATGATGTTTTGAACACCCTCGGGGTGCATACCGTAGCTTCGCCTCGGGTGCTATGTGCCCCTCGGGTGTTCAAAACGTCATATCCCACATCACAGTAGTCAACAATTGTTAAATATATGCACACTTTCAGCCATTTTGCAGTACACTGAAACTATCCTATCGGTTGCTTTGTTGTGAAACTGATAATTTGGACTGGACTTGAGAGATGTCTTGGTTCTCACCTTGAGATAGGCCATTAGGAGCAGAGGCAGGAGAGTGAATGGGACAAGATAGAGCAGGGCGGGCTGGGCTGCTTTGTAGACCTCGGAGGAAACTGTCGCAGTCAAGAGACCTACAGAAACAAGTGAAAATGTAATAAAATGTAATAATAAATTATACAACTGACATACAGATCCTTGTCATTTGATTGGTGGAACTCATATCACATGACATACATTATTACTCCCATTCACGCCAGGGCTCAAAAAGTCCCATTTGCCCATGGGGAATGGGATTTACTATTCAACAGTTAGGATTATCCTTGTTCCATGGCGCGGTATTTGTGTGGAAATGCATGCTGGTGTGTGCATTGAGCATTGCGTGTATTGTTCCCAAGAGACAGTAGCTAAGGAGTTGGGTTCAAACATTTCGTGAAGGGGTGGTTTGAAAAACAGAAATACATTTCCCACTAATTTTGTTTTGAAATAGAAGTTCATTCGAACTGTAAATCAAATGACAAGGATCTATATCTCAGTTACATAAAACAAATATTTAGTGGCTTTAAAGCTATAGTCCATCATTTGCAGCCATCCGAAAAGTAACTGGCATAATTATTGTTGAAAAACATACTTGGTTGAAAGATAGTAAGGGGACTAAACTCCCTGTGAAATTATTCTTTCTGGCAAGCTGTCATTTTGAAGTAATCAACAAAAGAAAGCCTTTCCAATGGTGCGTCTTAAGACGCACCGTAGGAAAATTTAAATTAGTAGTTCGTTTTGTTATTCGGCGAAGCGCGCGCAAGCATTGGCACGACGCACACGCGTGGTTGCTATAATTCGTCGGATCAGTGCGCGACATCGCATAGCTGCAATCGGCTCAGTGAGAACGCGAGAACGCGTCTTGGACACTAATATCAGGCCCAATTCAAAACATGATTCAGCAACATTTGATTTGAAATTGAGATCCTAGAATGCTGTTTTTCTCGGAATATACAGCTGAAGCTGAGCTGAAACTTCATCAGGTTAGTTGTTCAGTATCCTTCATTAGATTTTGAACACTTTTGAACAAAATGCACAAATTACAAATGATGGACGATATCTTTAAATTGTGAAATGGGAGGAATATTATCACTCAGTAAAATCTGGACTTTTCCATTCGCCTCGTGCAATAAAAAAGTCCAGGTTTTACACTGTGATAACATTCCTTCCATTCCACTCTGAGCCACTCAATGTTTTTTTAGTAAGGCCAAAAAAAAGAATAGTTCTGCTCTCGGTTACCCGACCGACCCAATTTTTAGGCTGCGACCCTAAAAATTTTATCGGCAATTCCAAAAAAAAAAAAAAAAAAATGATTGAATAAATAAAAATAAAAACCTTATGTCTTGTCTGTCTTCACAAAATACCCCTCAACAACCCTTTTGCATAAAAAAATGCTTGTATTTATTGTTTTCTTACTTACATTCGCTATTTTTTCAAAAGAAACCTCCGTCATTTTTACAAATTCGCTGCGTGATTCAACTACTTCGCAATTCGATGTCTGTAACACGTGCGTAATAAGCGCAATGCGGCGACGACTGGTTCCTGCCGCGCCGCGCAGGGGCCAATTATGAAAATGCGGTAACTAGTCTGTGCACGGCTATGCGACCGTTAGCACAAGCATGGCTATGCGCTGTGCAGGCGCAGGCACGTGCTCTGTCAACTGGTTGGACTCGACATCGTAAAAATGCTGAGAAAGGCATCGTAAAAATGCCAAGAAAACACCGATGGAGAAAGAACATTTTTGCAAGTTAAATCACAGATTTGATCTAGCTTGTCTGTGTATGTATTTTCCGTGTTCAAGAGTTCATTTTGAGATCGCACTACTCGTATTTGGAGTGATACAATGCAGCGTGTTTCCTGAAATGTTCGACCCGTTGGCCGCGGGCCACACATGTACATGTACACTTCGGAGTTTTGGCCAGCTCCCCTTCTTGACTAGCGTTGTGCCTATGGTGCGAACGACCTGAATTTCCCACAATTTTTTTTATGAATTACCGAACGTAAATATATTGACAATAATTAAGGTAGGTTTTATTCACTTTTTGTGGCCATTTTGTGTATAGCTTTTGTAGTGCAATGGAAATAGTTCAGGCTAAAACTTCGCATATAATTGAATACCCCATTCAATCTGCATAAAAAAAATTGGCAAAAAAAAAAAATGTCCGACCGACCGACCCTATTTTTGAAAGGCATGTAATCGGAAGCAGAACTATTTTTTTTTTTGGCCTAATGTATATCAGAACTCAGTGTTGCTGTTGAGTCCATGACAAGTCCTCACAAGTCCCCAACAAGTCCTCCAGTTTCAAGTCAAGTCTCAAGCTATTCAATGACCTACGACAAAAGCATTCCTTTGGTTTTGTTCATCCCCTAGTTGCTTGTGACTGGACTTGTGAAGGTACTTGCGATTTCCTTTTGACCAACTTGTGATGGAACTCGACTACAACACTATTACAATGCTACTTCTCATGCCATCTTATGAATTGCTACTGTTCATGTGTTCATTTCAATACACGCTCGCATCTAGCAACACACGTTCTGTTTTGTGCCCCGCAAACAAGATGGCGTATTTTGCCGTGAAAGTGGTTATTGGGGCATGGGCCCTATTTCACTGCGCTGCTTAACAGTTACCAGAAAAGTTGTGCTTAGCATAGCAGACAAATTTGCTAACCTTAAGCATTATTTCACAGCATGGATGTGCTAATGGTGGTGCGTGCAAGGAGATTTCTATTGTTACGCCTCTGATCTAAGCACATTTTTCCTCCGAAGTAAGCCTTTTGCTGTGCTTATGCTTACGGTCTCCATGAAATAGACGAAGGCTCTGTTAGCAGAAAATCGTGTGCTTAGCAGCGCCGTGATATTGGGCCCTGGTCACCAATAGCTCGACTCACCCACAAAATAACCAATCAGCGAGCAGTGGAAGTAAGTGACCCTCTGGGTGAACCCGCTGGGGGCAAGGACGGGCGCAGCCTGGCCCCCCTCGGCCAACAGCCTCTTGTAGTTGTCGTAGCGCATGACGAAGCACAGGAGCAGGCCCGGCATGACGATGTCGCCGAGACCCAGCATTGAGAAGTGACCAGCGTTCTGGGCACTGCTGCAGAGGATAAACAGAGTTAGACCAAGAAAAGCTTCAGACCAGAGCCACTGACGAATGCAAACTGTACAAATAATATCAGACTTTATTTCCAAAGTCCTACAAGTTGTGTTCATCACTAGTCGTACAGCATGTCTCAAAGAAATGAAGCAGTCAAAGACAAAAAATTCTGAGGAAACTAAATCGTTTATTTTCATTAAATAGTTTTTGTAAAAAACCTACCAAGAGATGATAGAGTGTTTCTTTACCGTTGACAGGATTTTTTGTTTCGTGTGATTTGAAACTTTTGATGAACAGTTATGGCAAAGCTTGTAGAGACACTCAAAATCTGTTTGGGCCACTTTTCAGATTATCTGGTATCTAATGAAAGGCATTCACACACCTTCTTGGTATGCGAATGCCTTTCATTAGATAGCAGATAATCTGAAAAGTGGCCCAACTTGGAATTCAAGTCCTTTCGTTTAATTAGCTGTATCTCTGGACTGGAATGTCCAAATGAGATGAGATAAAGACCATTGTGTAGAGTATTTACTACACCTTCAGACTCTATAGACCAGTTTTGCAAAAAGAGAGTGCTAGTATTTTTAATACTTATTGATCGACTGCTACATTTTTATTGACACACGCTGTATAAGTTCCTCACAGGTCCCTCGCAAGTCCATCACAAGTTTGCACAAGTCTTCACAAGTCAGTCAGTTCCCAAGTCAAATGAAATACGACGAAGACATTCCTTTGTCCTTGTTCCTCCCCTGTTTACATGTGACTGGACTTGTGCACTGACTTGTCACTTACTAGCGATGGACTTGACTACACAAAACTGCAACAAATAACTGCTCTGTGAAAAGAAATCAAACCTTAACATTTAAAAATTTGATTTAGATATTTCAAAATAAGTTACGCGTCTGTGGCTACATCCTGGTGGATTTACGATGGATGTGGGAACGTTCGAGTTGTACTGCAATATCGCTAGGTGGCATATGAAGCCAACACCTGAGTGTGACTGTGGAGCTGCTGATCAGACCGCAAGGCACATTGTCAACGAGTGCCCAATCAGAAAACTGGACGGTGGCATCGTTCGTCTAGCCAGCTGTGACCCGATCGCGACACGGTGGCTGTCGGACATGGACCTTGACATTTGATTCGGCGACCTTGGCATTTGATTCAGCGCTGCATACGAGAGAGAGACTAGGTGGCACGGTTCATTGCAGAATTTTTTTTGTATGCGTTTAAAGGTAATATACAACATTTGCTTTTGCTGTAATTTTCAGAAATGGATGGATTTGGTGTTACAGTGACCTGTTTAAAGTTTTGTGTTCATAGATCCCGGAAAACAAACCAATAAAAAAATGCTGTTCTTATAGTCCGGTTCCCTGACCCTACTTCAGACAAAACGGAGCAATTTATAGTCGTCGGGGAATTGTCAGGTCAGGGAACCAGACTAGCTGGCTTGCACCTGTTCATTCATGTATAACCGATTGCAAACAAAACATGGACTAAGCAACTTTGGTAAATTAGGGGCAGTATTTGAAAAAAAAGTCATTTTCTGCAATGATGGTTGGCTGACCATCATTGGTAATTGAATACAAAAATTCCACTTTTCTTGAAAATGACAGCACACCAGGTGCCATGATTTCACAGGATGCTTGAGACTATTATTCACTTACAGTCAAGTAAGACATTTCATAATAATTTGGTAGTATTGCTTTTTGATGTTTGCAAATAATGTATATCACCTTAACATCCATAAATTGGTATCGGATTAGTTTGTTAAAAAAGTGACCTTTCCCCATCTTACCCCTGAATTTGTTCTCATAAAGATGTCATGAAGTTGCAAATCCAATTCACAGCCCAACATTACTACAATTTTAACATCTGCTCACGATGAGAGTCCTCATCTACAGACGGCAATTGAGTCCAGTTAACTGCACCATGTTCTCCTCGTGACAGCCTTATCAGACAACGGGACTCCCTCCTTGCAATACTATCCGACATGAAATTATTTCCAAGTGACAGAGGATGGGTAATAAAGCGTCTCTATTCGCGCCGTAATAGCCGGGCCAGTAATAACCACATGGCCTCCAGAGACATGAGGCAGACAAGGGTTGGGAAACAAATAAAACAGTTTATAATTTAGATCCTGGTTGTAAGAGATTGAAACTGCAAATTACTGTCGATAACAATTTTTGATGTTGCTACACGAAGTGTGGTTTCAGAAATTTGATTATTGTGTCGCTCGTCCCTGGAGGCCATCATCAAAAAAGTTTGTGTTTCCATTTCAACTTTTACCCTAGTCAACTTTTAGACCAGTCACATGATGACCAAATGGCAGTTGTCAAGTTTGAATCATGTGACTTCCTTCATGAATCTGATTGGCTAACATAAATATCGTGTCCGGTGAAATCGGATGAAAAAAAATCAAACATGTTTGACTTCACCCATTCCCACCTGCGTACGATCAGATCAGTCCGATTTTTCAGCACATACCTCTCTGCTCTGTACGTCCGATGGCCCGATGATACGGTGAACCATTAAAATCGGAAAGGTGTGGGCGGGCTTTAGATCATTTTATTTATTAAGCTGTAACCTTTTGAACTAAATACATCCATTTTTGGATAAGAATGTTTCCTCCGCCCCTCCCCCTCCACAAAAAAAGGAAAGAAAAAAATCTTGAATAGACACATTTTAAATAAGCATTGAAACCGAGGATCTCAGTTGCTCAGCCATCATATGAAGTGAGGACCTTTTTTTTATCCTCTCAATAAACGTCGGCACCGGGGCCCTCAGCTTCAGTGCCAATTTAAAATTCCTCTATTGGACCAACAAGCATGTTTTGTTTTGTTTTCCTCATCGTATCAGTTTCCCGAAACCGAGAGTGAAGTTTACACATACTGGTATGGTTAATTCCACTTTCAGACAGAAAAAAGAATCCGGTATATTCTTAACTCTTTCGCTACGGCGAGCTGCTGACAGCGGCACACAAAAATTGTACATGTCGTACGGCAAGCAGCGGCTCGGTGACGTCGCTGTGAATAAACAGGGTATCCCCATGACGTGTGCCTTATCTACATAATTTATATCGCATAACCTCTGACCCTAGTTCGAGCCGCTGCCAGCGGCTCTCCGTCTCGCCGGGGTCTGCTGCTCGTTATTGTGAGCAGTTTGTTTACAGAGAGACATTTCAAGATGGAGGCGTCCACATCGACACACGGCGGAATTTCCTGCGGTTTATTACGTCCAAACGTGGAAAAATCGGTAAATTAAATTCCGTAGCGAAAGAGTTAATCTTATCAGTAATTATGAAAATTACCCAGCCATTGAATTCAATTCAATAATGTATGACTACAATTACTGATAAGTTATTCAATGGTGATTGATATCATCAGTCATTGATTCAGTGGTCATTAACGACTGGAAAGGTGACGTAAGGCTTTGAACGGTTCAGAGTCCAACTTGGGAGTGATATTGCACATAAACCACCTGAAGCAACTACCGTAACTCTGAAAGAGAAACACATGAAGTAAGGTTCTGAGAAAAACCACAGATATTGACCTGATGCGTTGTAGGTATCTTAAGCGGGTATTCGTAAAGTTTGTTACAATGAACAGGTGAAAGGTTTACTCATCCCTAACCCGGAAATACAAAACCATGCCCTCTAACTCCGCCTTAATGCATAAGGTCTATTGTCTGGATGCCCAGTCAGTATCTTCTACTGGACTTTTCCCATCTACTGAGGACAGTAAGAGCATACCGACAGAAACGTTGAGACAATTTCCCTGGTTCTTCTTAGAACTACACTTCTCTTGCAGTCTTGTAGTAAGAGTCCATCACAAGTCCTCCAGTTCAAAGTCACGACTATTCCAATTAACTGTGACAAAAGCATTCCCATTCTAGTATTCATCTTACTCATGACTGGACTTGTGAAAGGACTTGTGGTTCACTGTTTTACAGCACTTGTGATTGACCTAAGTACAAAAGTACAAAACCGTTCTATTTAAAAAAAACCATATTTTTTTGTATCGTAATTTGTGCATAGATCTGCAAGACTATCCAGCGTGCCTATAGGCCATCAGCTTGGGGTTTGGTCAGTATCAAATCAGGGCATAAATGATTATAGTGCGCATGCGCAAGGTATACCGCCCCTAGAGTGGTAACAAGCATTTTGATGGACATTTAAAAAAAAAAGTGTAGCACCCATAAAGCTGCCACCGCTGCAATGCTTTCACATATTTTCCAACTCTGGAGGTGTATTCCTTGCCAAAAATCGCTATGATGATTATTCCCCTCATTTGATACCGGTGGCCAAAATTTTGGACCGAGGCTGATGGCCTACTAGTTTTCCGGGACTCACCTAGGGAAGATGAGTTTTCCGGGCAGGGAGAGCTGAGGAGCGTCCTTGACAACGGCAGGCATGTTCAGCTTCCTGGCAACCACACCGATCTGAGAGGAAAACAAACGGGAAGAGAGAGTAAACATTAGCACCACTGCAGTCTTCAGGATTCCAACAATCACTCCTGGAAATATGCCTTATTTTTAAGAAACAAATATTTGACTTCTCCAAGACGAAGTACAAATTTGATCCTAGTTTTCCATGGCTTTTCCACGCTTTTCCTATGCTTTTTTCATACCAAATGTACTTTCACATGATTTTTTCTAACAACAAAATAGCTTCCATAAAATTTCCATGCATTTTCTATACTTTTTCCATAACAAAATTTAATGATTCCCATGTGTTTCCCCACTACAAAACAGCAAGATTTAAGACAATTTACGACAAATCAATGACATCTTCAAAGAAAAAAATGCATTTAAATGTAACCATTGCTTTGTTTTTTTCCCATATCAGAGTCGACTGATTCTTGCAACTTTTCCACGGTGGAATGGACTGATTTCAATTACCTTTCCCGGGACAAAGAATGCAGTTTCCGATGACTTTTCCCATAACAAAAAATACACCTTTTGCCTGACTTTTAAACCATTTTGTTAAGAAAGACCAACAAGTACACCGTACATGAGGTAACAACGCTCCCTCACATATTCCTGTGAGGAAATGCCATGACTCAAGCCACAACTACACGGTCATGAAAAAAAAAAAAAATCCTGTACAGGGAAGAGAATATTTCCTTACAAAAAAAACAATCCTTCCTGAGTTGTTCTGAAGGCCACTGAAATACAGCACTGCTAAACCTAAAAGTGAAACTAAACTGTGTTGAGTTTTTATGAGCCGGTTATTTCTAATTGCAAGGTAGAATGGTTACCCACACAGCAAGTTATCAGTGTTTCCTCAAATATTTGTGTCGACACTTGAACTCACTAAAAACCTACTCTACCTGTACATTAATCATGCCAGCTTCAACTGGAGTAAAACCAAACGGCGTATTGTCTTTTCAGATTCTTTTAAAAATCAGTCCTTCTGATTTGAGGCGTGCGATCACACTCCCACGCCATCACACGCCTAAAAGCTTCCTGAGAAGTGTGAATAATTGCACCCCTGTATTTCCCTGAACCACAGAATCACACACCTAGAAAAACCACACACCTAGAAAAATCCAGGTGTGCCTTTTTCCACACCCCTGTGATTTTCAAATCAGGAGGACTGGAAAATGGATTTTACCCTGAACCTTTACTCTGTGCTGTCTGAGTTTGCGAGGGAAAAACTCACAAGCTTACTTGGAATTTTGACTCGAACCTATGACCTTCTGCTTTTAAGTGCAGATATCTTAATCACCCAACCACCACGCTTGCCCGGGTCAGCTTATCAAATTATTTCGGTGAAGGGCACCACCTTATATTAAAGTTTACTTTCCCCGACGCAAAATTCCATCATAACAAGAATTTTGTGTCTGTCAATTTGACAAAGCATTTTTTCATATAAACCTCAAAGGGAAGCTGACTAGGCACCCCTTGAACAAAGACATTAACAAAATGGGGAACCACCAACAAAGGGCTGGATAGCTCAGCTAGTAGAGCACCGGAAGGGCAATCTGGAGGTCACAGGTTCAAACCCCATTCCACTCAATTTCTTTTGGGAGGCTTTTGGGACTTCAAAGAATTGACAACCATTGCGAAGACACTGTCAACATGACTGGCCTATTTTACAATGCACTGCGTCATTAAGAATTACAACTCTTGCAAAGGTTACGGTGAACAACAGAAAGAGAAAATAGAAACGAGACCCAAGGACACGAAACTAAAAGAAAAACTCACTGGGTTGTTAGCGGGCCTCATGGCCACTTTGACCATGACGTTGGCATTAAATATGTATGTGGAGAAGAAGACCCAAAAGACATCGTAGACCAGTAGACCGGTGAGGAGTAACGTGGAGACTTTGAGGCTTGGTAGACGGACAAACGCGATCATGGTGACGCACAGACCCATGGCTAGTGCTGCAGAAAAGGAAAAAAAAACATAAACAAAACATTTAATATTTTCTCAAATGTGTATATTTTGACACCATAAATACCTTAGACAGTTTACCAATCCCTATTGGTCGAGAGCCCGTCACGTGGGTGGTTTTAATCTGTTGGTAAAACACCGCTGCGTTCTGCGCCACATTGCGCAGTACGGGCCGGGTGCGTGCCAATCTCCATATCAGGATATTTTTAGCACTACGCGCGTGAGGCACATACATGTACATGTACATGTACCATAGACATGGCCAGAGGGGCATTTCACAAAACATGAAGTAAAATTGTTGAACAAAATCATTGGAATTGTCCCTTGCATTCGACTTGGGCCATTATCCACGTCCAGCCCCTAGCCAATTTTTTTGTTTAAAACCTAAAACCAGCCAAGCACACATTTTTCCCTTATTATAACTTTTGATTTAAATTACAAATACATGTAACTTCGACCTTCACAGTTTCCTGAACAGTAGGCACAATACATTTCATTCCTTTGTTAATATTTTTTTGTTCTAAATACGTGTAAATCATCCTGATCCTGAATTATATTATTACAAAAAATTGCATAAGGAAAAACAAATATGCTCCTACATTTGCCTTTCCTTCAACTTCTATTTCCTTTAACCTCTGTTCATAAATTTGGTTTCCTTAATACCTGTCCTGAGAGCGTGCCTATGGAATTCAGAAAGTAAAACTATGGACATACATGTATGTCTGAACAAACATAGATGCCCACATTTTGAATACTATTGAACTATTGAACAGGTAAACCTTAAAGTTATATGAGGTTTTACGAGGTGCTTCGGAGTCCACCCCAAACTCACACATACTGCTTAATTAATAAGCCATTTGCGAGTTAAATTTGAATATAATCTGGAACGCTGACTATGCACATTTCAAATTTGCATTCTCCCGACCAAAGAGACTGTTACTATATCACGTGATTCGGGGCAAGCCTTATGCTAGCAACCCCCAGCTCCGGCATGGTCTGGTGTCTTTGTGCCATTCTCACCCATGGTGAACAACGTATTGGTGCTGAGCATCTCTTACGTAACTATGCAACAGCTTGCCCCAAATCATGTGATTAGCAACAGTGTCTTTGGTCTGGAGAATTCACAGTTATAATGTGCCAAGCATTCTGAGCAAGTCAGTGTACCAGATGTATTTCGAATGTAAATCCCACAGGGTATCATAGGTTACTCGCAAACGGCTTATTGTTCACTCTTCCCTTATTGGACAAATTTACATACATGTAAGCCCAAGCTTTTCCGCGTTTCTTTCGCATCTCATTTGTCATCCTGTGGGTGTTTCGCCAAGTGTTTCACAATGCAGTATCACCCCACCGACTTCCTGTCTAAGGGATCAAGATCCACCGCACAGGCTACACGTGATCTATTAATACCATGACTTCCTCTTTCCCAGAGCATTATTATCCCCCCGTCACTTCAAACAACATACATGTGGTAACCAGTCCAGACGTAGAAGTACCGGTAGCAACACCGCGCTTGTTGTCAGCCTTACCCCAATGACATTTTAAAATAACCCCCTTCCTTTGGCACGCTACCAAGCACCACCTCCCCCCCCCCACCCCACCCCCAAAACGCTGCATGTGTCATATACATGTACACTGTACGAATGCAACAAGTTTAAACTCTTTGAGTCATACTGGCATCCTGTATATGTGCAATGTACATGTAGTCAGGCCAAGCGTACGAACAGTACAGGGTGCTTCGCGACCATTCCCGAAAGCTTCGTCTGTTGTACCACGGACCATTTACACACACTGCAAGGGCCAACTGGTTTGTGCACACATGGTGCAACATATACAGGCCTGATATTTTACTCTCAGCAAAAACATGGAACAAAGTGTCATGCAGACCCCCAAAGGGTAATGTCTATTGTACAGAATGTTGAAAATGGAGGAAATAATAGGAAAGGAAAGGAGAATAAGTTGGAAATCCTATGATAGGAAAACTGTCATGCCTGTTCTTACAATTAATATATTATGAATGCTGTGCACAAATCATCGTTACGTGACTGCCGTGCATACAGCATTAAAGCACAAGAATTCCACCTCACTCTTTTCAACCAACTGAGGGGGTACTTGCGCACTGGGCTCCGTGCACGAGTACCCCCTCAACGGTAAGAAAAGGAGGATTGGGGGAGACCACTGGGAGAGACATTCGAACTCAATTCCGATGATGCCTGACTCACTCAAAGATGCTGTGGCTTTGCGCACATTCAGAATAAAATAAATCGTACGCACTTCACGTCTTTGGTGCGCGAATAAGTACATTCACACAGTGTGTCCCATTGACTGGGCTTTGGAAAGCGGTAAAAAAGCGCCCTCTCTTGTTTGCGCACAGAGCTCATAGCCTTGAAACCTGCGGCTGCCTTTGACCTTTCTACACGGTACCTACCGTATATGTACTATAGGAAATTGTTCACATGCAAACCCCCCTCCCCCCCATGACAGTGTCCAATCTCACAATCCAATTATCTGTATTAGAACACAATTCTTCCTCTTCCGGTCTTTCGCTTGTTCTCTTGACTGAAACCGATGGCTGAAATGCATGTATACGTAACCTTGGGCCAGTTCCAATAATAGGCGGGTTATTCAGCGACAGTCCATGAACCATGATATTTGCCCAGCCAGAACGAAAACACAGCCTCTCTCTATAGTACAGCCATGAACTTCATGTTTCAACAACAGTGTTTTGTTACAAAGTTTACAAACCCAATTTTCCTTTCGCAGCTTGCACGCACTTGTATGGAGTGACAAAGGAACATATATGGAAACAAGTGGGGTGTGTATAGTGTTCATTATCATAACAAACAAAACCAAAAACCACTTAAAAAAAAAAAGGAATTCAATCATTTAAATATGACTCACTATTGATCTATGAATCTATGGTAACATCATCACAATTCAACTGGACATAATTTTTGAACATGCAATTATTGATTATTTTTCTTTATCAGTCATCATAGATCATGTTCTCAACTCTCGACATGTATTTGTTCACTAATGTTTAATTTTATAAGGTAGGTTTTTTGTGTTTGTCTTTTGCTTTTGCCATTTGCTTTTGTTTTGTTTTGTTTTGTTTTAATTTGGTTTTTTTTTAAATGGCTTTATTTATTAATTTCTTTTCATGGTATTTTCGGTCCACAATTTTATTTATTTATTAATTTTGTTTAAGAGAAAGAATTTTGAAATATTGTAACAAAAAATCTTTTAAAAATGTTCACTTCAAATGCAATAGCTTACAGACCTTCCAACCCTTTTATTAAGCATGCGTCAATAAGCCACGCTTCGGTTAATTTTAACGGAATGAAAATAACCGACAGTCACTTGGGACCACGTCATTAAAATGCAATACAGCCATCTCAACAAGGGTTTAGACACTCATTAAACAAATGGACTCTGCGTTGTTGCTTCTCGTTGCTACAGTAGAAGAGAAAAAAAGCTGGAATCATCGGCGTAGCCTGGCCATTAGAGACATCTAAATAAATGTAAATGCACTGCACACGTACATTTGCATACTTGTACATGTCCATGTATACATGTACAATATTAAGCTATTGGCTCATTTCTGGTCAAAAACTGTTGAGGCCATGTACACTACCGGTACATGTATGTAGCAAGGCCCGAAGACAGCTTTGAAATTTTACCACCAATCTACAAAACAAACTGAAACATATTCCCTCATTTTTCGGAATTTTATTTCATCTTTTCGTCAATTTTCATTTGTTTTGCTCCCACTTCACTACTGATTCCATGTACCAAGAAACAAATGAGTTGTTCACACGTCCAATTTTAACCAAGATGTATGAAATTTTAAAATGCATGTTCCTTTTTTTTCCCCTTTTTTTTCCATATTCAAGTCAATTTTTTCCTTTTTTTTTCATATTCAAGTCAATTTTCCCCCTCTCCTTTCACTACTGATTCCATACACCGGTACAAATACTGCAAATAATAGCGGGGCAGATACGGGAAATATTTGGGGGAATTGTGCCTTTGATGATACAAGCATGGCATCTGGTACACAGTCAGAGTATTGTCTTAAAGCTATAGTCCATCATTTGCAGCCATCCGAAAAGTAACTGGCGTAATTATTGTTGAAAAACATACTTGGTTGAAGTAAGGGGACTAAACTCCCTGTGAAATTATTCTTTCTGGCAAGCTGTCATTTTGAAGTAATCAACGAAAGAAGGCCTTTCCAACGGTGCATCTGAAGACACACCGTAGGAAAATTTAAATTAGTAGTTTGTTTTGTGATTCAGCGAAGCGCGCGCAAGCATTGGCACGACACACACGTGCGCGCAGTTGCTATAATTCGTCGGATCAGTGCGCGACATCGCGTATAGCTGAAATCGGCTCAGTGAGAACGCGTCTCGGACGCTGAATTCAGGCCCAATTCAATACATGATTCAGCAACTTTTGATTTGAAATTGAGATCCTAGAATGCTGTTTTTCTTGGAATATACAGCTGAAGCTGAGCTGAAACTTCATCAGGATAGTTGTTCAGTATCCTTCATTAGATTTTGAACACTTTTGTTGCTTCAAACGAACAAAATGCACAAATTGCAAATGATGGACTATATCTTTAAAAATGATATTTGGGTATACATGTAGGGCCATCACAGATTTGTCCTTTGAAAAGTATGGGTAAAATAACAAGCAATTTTCACTTTCAAAATGGCTGCCATTGCATGTTATTCTACCTACATGTACATGTATATTTTTTTTCAAAGGACAAATCTGCGATGGCCCTATAGCCAGATATCTTTCTCATGACATACTCCGACTGTGTGCCAAATGCCATGCTTGTATCATCAACGGCACAATTGCATCACCTATCTGTTCTACTTAAAATGCTTATATTACACAAAAGCACGAATCTTCATAATACAAGCACAACCCAGTGTCACACACCCCAAGCTTACTGCAGGAATAGAAGCCCCAAAAAACAACTGTTCAC